AATTTATTATGTAAATCTAAGATTTATCAAGGAGTAATAATTATGTTCTGATGGTAAATCTTAAATTTACAATGTAAATTTAGAATTTATAGATAATACAATCTGGGTTCTGATGGTAAATTTTGAATTTACTAAGTAAATCTAAGATTTACGAATAAAAATAAAAAAAAATATTTATCTTATAATATTATTAAAGTTCTGAATTTACTTTGTAAATTTAGAATGTATAAAAAAACAAAAAATTGTGTTCTAGTGTAAATCTAGAATTTACGAAGAACACAATCTGTGTTCGGTTCCTTCACCCAAATTAAGTTTTTCTTAAATTTTTTTAGTAACCATCGTTAACTTTAATTTCGTTGTTTTTTACATAAAATAAAATGTTAGGTAACCTTCTCAATCCTTCACCCAAATTGTTCTAAAAGAGAAAAATTCTTTAGCCAAATTAAAAAATAAAAAATAGAAGAAATATCTTTAAAAACCATTTATTACACGCACATGAAAAAATAATAATAATAATGAAAAAAAAAAAAACAATCATTCAATCCTTTGCAAATTGCAATGAAAGTTACTTCACGGTTCAATCCTTCCCAACGAACAATCACAAATCAATCCACAAGCAACAAACATTAGACACAACTAACACCAAATGGCCAAAAATAAAAATAAAAAATAAAAAATAAAAAGTTCAAACATCAGTACAAGAGAGCGACAACCGATCCCAAAAACGACACCACCAAAGCCTGAACGATCCCAAACGCCGCCAAGGAGGTTGCGGCCGAGAAGCTCCCTGTCGGCTTATCGGTGGTCAAAACGACGACGATCCAGGCCCCCTCGGAGCCGACGCCGGTGCCGGAGTACTTGGAGTCTTTGAGGAACTTCTTATAGGGCGAATGCGTGTAGTTTCCGAGCACGAGTTCGGAGACGAGATCGGGGACGCAGACCGGCAATATGACGCCGTCGGTGGTGGTGGTGATGTTGATGTCGCACTTGTTAGCGAGCTTGGGGAAATTGACGAGCTCCGTGACCGTACGGGTCGGATCGTCGGCGAATTTGTCGGCGCCGGAGCACGGCTGGTCTTCTAGGTCGTCGGCGATTTCGTCGGCGAGGCAGGACGCTTTGTCGTTTTCCGCCAGTTCAGAGACGTTCACCGATTTCCGGTATTTGTTTATTCCTTTGAGTATAAGATCTTCCTTTTCTGTCGAAGACAATTTTGGAACGATTGACATTAGAATTTTGACAAGAAATTAGAGCTCATACTGATACAGCAGCAGATCTTCTTGAAGGCACCCAGGCATTCATTTTTATTAGTGTACGGACAGTATGATATACTTGTCACAACAATACCAATGGTAACAGAAGGCAGATGAAACCGTCATCAATTGATGATCGGTATGCTCTGAGCATTTTTTTCTTTTTTTCCTACTTTTTAACATTATTAGGGAGTGTCTTATGGTCTCATGCACCTATTTTTATCACTGTAGTGTTTAACATTGTTGGTGATTTTTTTTCCCTCAATGATCGTCGGTGCTTTTGTGTTGTTCAATAAAAATATTCAAAAAGAAAAAAATTTATTGTCCCTCCAAAAAAAAAAAAAAAAAAAAAACCCAA